ATACACCCCTGGGGATGGGTATAGACAAGCCCTCTCTGATTTGGTAAGTCGTGCTACTTTCAGCTGTGCCCGTATGACAGGATCAGCGAGTTTCAAAGGGAGATCAGCTGGTGAGAGAATAGAGTCGAACGTCTCACGGAAAAGCTGCACACCTCCACGCATCAGTAATCGTGTCAGGCGATGAAAATTTGCGCTAGGACCTGTTGATCGTAAGGCTTCTCCTGCCATGTCATAAATACAAATCCTAAAATCGAAAATGAATATGACAAGTAAGATGACAAGTGCGGGAAAACCTTAAAGAAATTGATAACCATTAAATCAGTAGCAAGAGTTTATAGTGCTATAATATATATATATATATATATATATATATATATATTTATATATATATATATTTATATATACATATACACCTGTTTTCAAAAACGTTGCAATTTGGAAATATACACGAAACATATATACCTTTTGTTTTCTAATCAAAAAGAGACATTTTTTGATGAGAAAACAAAAGGTATAATATGCATTTAATTTTTTTTTTCACTTCAAATTGCAACGTTTTTGAAGATGGGTATATATATACGTAAATATATTTATAGGCGCTACTTAGCTTAACTGCCTTAGGGAAGCATGTTAGTAATGTGAAAAAAAAGCATGTGCTTACAAGAGACTCATTATGAACGCGCATGAAACAAAAAAAGGCTTTCCTTTTGAACCACTTAATTGCGCCTTTCCGCATAACAAGTTCTATGCCTTTAGTCTCTCTGTGAGCCTCATTTTTTATTACTTTATTATATTGAGTCAGTGAAAGGTAAGAATGTTTCATCAGGCCAGATGAAGTGAGCAATTGACAAGGAATTCCTAGTTGGTAACAAACCCACACTATTACTGAAATAATGATATACATGAAAAATTACGCGCGTCTGATTGGCTGAAAACGGGTGCATTTTTCATGTAACACGAGTGCAAAGTTATAACACCACGGGCAGACCACACTATGTGTTCGTGGTTAATTATTGTTGACATGACGAACAAAATCTATGAGGGTTATGAATAAAGCTCTGAAAATTGCATATCTAA